TTTTTTTTTTTTAATGGAGTTCAACGGCCTTGAGATATCATTATCCAGCTGACCGGCCCTATGTGAAGTTCAGAAAATTGTGACATTTTTCAGTTTTTTTTTTTTTTTTTAAGGCTAGTTCTTTTTTTACAAGCCAGGAAAAGGGCCCGGCGTTCTACGTTGTGATCGAACCAATGAATCACGAATGACAACTCTTCCCTTAAAAAAAAAAAAAAAAAAAAAAAAATCGGTACCACAGACGAATTGTGATCTGTTAGAAGAAGATTTTTATGTTCAAGCCGGGAACCGGGCCCAGCGTCCCTTAACAATGTTGTTCTGCTCCCTCAGTGGGACGGCATCACCGGCCGAACCCAGAGGGGAGGTCACAGTGACCCCAGGAAAAGACAAATATTGCAGAATATCCACAGCCGATTCTAGTATACTATGAAAGAAACGTGCGAGCTAAAGCTAGACCCAAGAGCCTAGCTCAGTGGGTGCACCCATGAACTGTTGAAATACAGACCTGAGTTCGAATCCAGATGATGGAACTTGACGAGTAAAACCAACTACTAACGAATTGCTAGGGGCCGGTCAGCTCAAGGATAATATCTCAAGGAACCCAAGAGCCTAGCTCAGTGGGTACACCCATGAACTGTTGAGATACAGACCTGTGTTCGAATCCAGATGACGGAACGTGACAAGTAAAACCAACTACTAATGAATTGCTTGGGGCCGGTCAGCTCAATGATAATATCTCAAGGCAAAGTCGCCCTTTAAAATTAAAAAAAAAAAAAAAAAAAAAAAGATAATATCTCAAGGCCGTCGCCCTTTTATAATTAAAAAAAAAGAAAAAAAAAGACTGAAACAGAAAACATCGCAAAAAGCAAAACCTCCACCCTTTGACACGAGCCCACCTATCAGCCGTTTAAATTTTAAACCAAAGCATTCCCGAAATTTGGAGAAATTCACAAAATGTGAACGAGTTATTGTTGTCGTCAGCAGGAATGCACCGTGCGGGTTCATCGAGCGCTCAAAAGTTCCAGCCGCCGTGCAGTGGGGTCCAAGCCATAGTTTACTGACTGACTCCGCCAGGCGGTCCTTTTCCTCGGGGGGGGGGGCGAGAGCGGAGAGGAGGAGTTCGAGGGGGCGGGGGTAGAGGGGGAGGGGAAGATTTTTAACGGATCCTCTTTTCAGACGTGATAAACTGCTGTGGTCGTCAGCAGAAACTGAACTTGCTGGGTTATGTATCAGGAAAGAAGAGTCAAAACAAAAAAAAGAAAAAAGTTATAATTGACGTCAACGGCAATTGATTGGGGAAGATTTTTAACGGATCCTCTTTTCAGACGTGATAAACTGCTGTGGTCGTCAGCAGCAACCGAACTTGCTGGGTTATGTCTCAGGAAAGAAGAGTGAAAGAAAAGAAAAAAAAAACGTTATAATTGACGTCAACAGCAATTGATTGACATACAGACTCGACTCCGGCAGGCGTTGGGGGCGAGGGGGGCGGAATTGTTAAAATTGACGGATCCTCTTTTCGGACGTGATACACACCGCTGTTGTCGTCAGCAGAAATTGAACTTGCTGGGTTATGTATCGGGAAAGAAGAATGAAATAGTTGACGTCAGCAGGAATTGCCGTACATACTCGAACCATTTGGGCTAATAGCCTGCAGCAACGCTACTACCGTTTTCCCCCGAACACTGATGATACATGTATAATTTTAATTTTAAATTTTAATTTTAAATTTTAAACCAATTATATACGTTCATAATGAGGATGCCTTTAAGCTCGAGGAAGATGGTAGGCGTTGCAGTGAATGTCAAGGCACTGATGCCGTTTTTTTTTTTTTTTTTTTTTTTTTTTTTTGGTTAAAAATTACACTACATTCTTCTCTCGAATTATTTCTTCTTTCAGTGCCTACCTACCCCTACTCCTAAGGCTATACAGAGGACCCCTGGAAGCATAGCTATCTACCTCTCTTGGTGAAGGGAGGCCACCTCTCTCGATGGAGGGAGCCTCAGGGAGGTATTGCATGTTTTCCCGTTGCTCTAGCAGTTTTGGGTGCAGACTTGGGGCTGCCCGTGGAGGGGGCCGGAGGAGGAGGAGGAGGAGGAGGAGGAGGAGGAGGCCGGGCTAACACAAGGACCGAGCATTTGACAATAACTCCGTCTCGGCCGCCTCCCTTTTCATCTTCCGCCACCCCCATAGAGCAACAGCAGCGTCTAAGGCCAACACCCTCCCACACACCACACACCACACACAACCGACTCACACTCGCACGCACACCCGTGGTGGCTGAAGAGACAACTGATACCGACCAGGAGGATCACGCTGACTATCTCTGAGTCAGATGGTTGGCACCAAGGGCGGGGTTGGAGATTGAACCCAGGACCTCCTGAATGCAGCTTGAGCGCCTATTAACCAATCTGTTTTCGAAAGTTTCGTTTTTTGTTTTTTTTTCCTAGTTTTCCTTCTTTCGTGTGGTAGTAATGGTGACAAAGGCCCTAGGGCTCTCAAGTGGTCTGCAGGAGGTCGTGGGTTCAATACCCACTGGCCTCATGTACCTTCCAGGGCAAGCTTGGCGCCTGCCACCTAGAGAAAGGCCGGTGGTCCCCCGAGTGGCATTTGGCAGAGACTGCTGATATTCATAGGCGGACGGGACCCGAGGGGAGCCACAGAGACAGCGACTGGCCCATCGAAGAAGCCTGGTCCTGATGCTACCGGCTGAGCCGCGGCCGGTATCGCCCACCTGCTGTAGCAGGTATCACACCTGCTGGTGGGTGCAGCTCCCGCATGTTCCCTCGTTGGAGGCTAGAGCACAGATGTGTCCGCTGTTACGGCCCCCGTCCCTCCACTGCTCTCCGAATGTGCAAAATGCGACTGAATCCTCCTCTAGAACATGGAAAGATGCATTTCCATCCTGCTGTAGCAGGTATCACACCTGCTGGTGGGTGCCGCTCCCGCATGTTCTCACGTTGGAGGCTTGAGCATGGATGTGTCTGCTCCGGGCTCCCTGTCGCTCCACTGCTCTCCCCACTGCTCTCGGAATGTGCAAAAATGTGACTGAATCCTCCCCTAACAGATACATTGCCATCTTTCTTGTCTTTTGTGCATCCGGATCGAGTAGTGCGCCAAGGCCCACAGCCAGGGAAATCAACACCATAGTTGCGTTTATACTTGAAGGGCCTGCCCGTGGCCGCACTACTCAGCAAACAGGGTTTTTCTTGTCCCTTTCATGCCTCGCCGCACTGCCTGACCAATAAGTATTCCCTTTGGTCAGAAACTACTGTCTTCCCCTGAATAGAACGCCCGGTAATTATTGCCGTATCTAGGCTGAAAGTTGTGCCAAATACAGCTATAATGCCCGGGCGTTCCATTCGGGTGAAGACGGTCGGTCACATGAATTGGTAAAGGGCTCACCAAAAATGCCTCAACTCCCAGCCTGCAACTGAAATTCTTCAATTTGGCAGGAGCTTTTCGGCAGACACAAGTTTGGAGAGGTTTCTGTCCGTCCAGACTGCTGGTATGGAAGGACATTTGTTCTTTTCCTTTGTCTTTGGTGGGCCTGTTGGGACACTATTTCTCCAATTTGAAAACAGAACAGTTACTTTGGTGAGGTCACAGACCTCTTTTCAAGTGATGTTTTGAAATGGAATTGTTTTTATTAAAAAAAAAACAGAACTTTGGTGAGGCCATGCGGCGAGGGCTGGGTTCGGTGAGGTTTTTATGCCTTCAAGTTGCTGCTTCGGTGAGCACTCACCAACCACTATCAAGTTTGGTGAGAAGTGCGGCAAGGCCCTAAATCTCAGTGTAAGCGGAGATGTAGTGCTCGCAAGTGGTAAAGTGTCATATATTGTTTGTTTGTTTGTTTTTAACGAGGGCCCAGTGCCCAAGGCTCATATTTAGAAATTTGAATACACAACAGACACACGCCTCTTCCCATTAGGGCTGGAAGAGCCTCGGCCACTGCTCCCATAGAGACAAGTTCCCTGTACAACAAGAATGAAGAATGAAGATTTGGCACTGAGCATTGATTGCTTCCCTGGGAGGGAAGGATTAACTCAGCCCCATGGACAATCGACCCGTGGCCCAGCGTCCCTTCTGATCAGATTGGCTCCTGTGCCTCTTCACCCTGAATGGGCGCCAGATATGCATGTCCACCTAGCACTTCCAACCTTATTTTATACCACACCAAACCAACTCATAGGAACTAAACACAAGCCTTAGGCTGATGGTGGAAAAGGGTCGGGGAAGTCTGAGAGGGGTCTGAGGGGGATGGCTGGGTCAACAGTTGTCCAGTCTTGATAGACCAAGCGATAATCCCTTGAAACTCTTTCCTGCCCTCCTTCCGACATATCCTCTTTCTGTGCCCCCTTCCATATGACATTTCCCAGATACCTCCCTTGGGTGCCCCCGAGCCAGTTGTCACAGAATTGTTGAATATGCTTTTGAATTTCTACCTTGGTTAGTAAGTACTTGATTTTTTTCCTTTACCTTGTCCCATTGAGCATTGATTTCAGTTTGAATTTGATGCTTTATCGAGTCCGTAGATTCTGGTCCCTCAATCCTAGCCTTTTCCATTTCATATGTGCAGCGTCGGTTCTGAAGAGCCCACAGGATTGCCCTTCTTCCTACCTTGTAAAGGTTGATAGTGAACTCGTCCGTCTGGGACGGGCTCCATGTTTCCCAAAGGAGGGTTTTCCATTCCCACGGCCATGGTTGGGTGGTGGGGAGCTGGTTCCAAATCCTGTCCCACCATCTCCACAGCCAAACTGTCGCTGGACATTGTAAGAAGATATGTTTTATAGTTTCAGGTATGAGTCGGGAAGGAAATGCTGATGAGCAAAGACCGCACCAAGGCTGAGCCAAACCTTTTTTTTCCAAGGAGGTCCTATCAAGTAGCCAATCATTTGTTGGTAGGCAGCGACGATCTATCTGCCATTGTAGTGATGCTATCTTAGCTGGTTTGACTTTGATATTCTTGAACCACTTTACGTTACGCAGAGACTCCTTGCTCACATTGCATTGCTTCATCCACCGGGATTCCACTCTATCTCTCAGGTTGACATTAGGTCTGAGCAGCCTATACGTGGATTTCACTGTTAAAGAGTGGAGATATCGTGGCCGTGTTTGACCTTTCCTTCCATGTCCAGTCCATGTCCACATAGCTGGATCCAGAGCCAATTTGTCTATCGAGATTGATGGTTTAAAGGCCAACCATTGCTTTTTTTCCTTTATGACTCTTATTCTGAATGGTTGGTTTTTCTGGAACCATTTTATTGTGGTTGTGAGATTTGTAGAACATTGTTCTGTCCAACACAGTAAAGAAAGATCTTCCCCAACTACTACCACATTGCTTACCTGCTGAGTATTGTCTTGGAGTCCAACGCAGTCGCCCTCCTTTAGATTCGGACCTTTTTTAAGGATTCTTATCCAGTCTAGGGGTATTAGCTCAATTACAGTGTCCAAGGCTTCTTTGGAGTGTCTGCAATAGTAAGGACTAGGCTAGATCTGTTCAAGTTCACACCAGTCATTAGATTCTTTACACCAAATATCCCCAACCCTGAGGACTCCTCTTTTCACCCATCCTTTCCATGGAGAGTCCAGACAATGTAGACTACACCCTTGAGAGTCCTTGATCCATCTATTATTGAAAAGAGGTTGTTGGCACACCTCTTCTCATCTGTTTGGAGGGCATTTATCCGGGAGTGGAAGCTTTCACCATGTTTTAAGTAGATTAGGCCAGAAAGGATCCTTTTTGATATCTAACCTAGCTGCCCTCCTGTCTGAAATTGGCTCATTGTTCGCATTCTATGTGTGACTCCTCGGGATAGACCAGTGTCGATTCTCTAACCATATCATAGGATTTGTTCCATCCGGGACTTCTGGTGCCAGTCCTGCAATTTGTTCCCACGCCAGCGTCTGCCACGGTGTTTGTGGGTTAAAGAGCAACCTCTTAATCCATTGGATAGATAGTGCTAGAGCTTGTGTGTTTGGGTTCAAGATCCCCAATTCACCCTTTGATTTAGGCTGGATCACCGCTTGCCGGGCTACTCTGCTGATCACATTCTTGTATTGATGATTTCCCCTCCATAAGTATGCGGTCACTTGCTTTTGTAGGCTTTGGAGAGCGGGTTTTTCTAAAAGCCATATGGCAGATCTATACCAAAGAGCCGCTAATATGACATTGTTAATAACTAACGATCTACATATCAGGGAGGTTTGTTTGTCTTTCCATACTTCAAGTTTTGTCAAAACCGGTTGTGCAATCCATTCATTATTAGTTGTTGGCTTTCCTTTTGCTGACAGGGAGACCCCTAACACTCTGATTGGGGATGAAGGGGGCAACCAATTTATATGATGTTGCTCCGGTGGTCTCAGTCCCTGATGGTGAATCCACCATCCTTGCGTCTTAGTCCCCCAGTTGATCCGCATGTCAGATAGGGTACAAAATTTATCCATCAGCATTTTGATCGTTCTCATATTTTCTTCCAAGGCATCAATCATCAAGGACAGGTCATCATCAAACAGGGAACATACTGGAATGGCTTCCTCTGGAATTGAAGCGACTTGGATACGTTTGATATCCTTATTTGTTCTTATATTAGCTGCTAAGGCCTCCATCATAATGACAAAGAGATAAGAAGCTATCGGGTCGGTTTGTCTTACTGATCGCTCGTCGAGTGATATGGGAGGAGCTAGGTTGCCATTAATCATAACTCTCGTCGTGGCGTTTGTGTGTAGGATCTCCACCCATTTCTTAAAACAAGGCCCAAAGTTACATCTCTCCATACATTTGTCTAGAAATATCCAGTCCAACCATACTTGCAACCGCACGAGCCGCACATTCGTGCGGACTTCCGTACGGAGTTCCGTGCGGGGGGTGCCTATGCGGAATCGTGCAGGTTTTTTATTTTTATTATTATTATTTTATCTTTTTTTGGGAGGAGGAACGGGGGGGCGTATGACAGGAGATGCGGATATGGCAAGGAGAGGGGGATATGGAAAGGAGGAGGAGGATGTGGACGAGGAGGACAAGGAGGAGGAGGAGTCGAGATGGAGGAGAAGAGACGGACGGAGGGAAAAGAGGAAGGGCAGGAGGAGGACGAGTCGGAGGAGGAGGAGACACGGATGGCAAGGAAGGGTAGGACACGAGAAAGGGGAGGACACGAGGAAGGGAAGGAGACGAGGAGGCATGGAAGATGAGGAAGTACGAGGAGGAGGAGGAGACGAAAAGGAGAAGGGAGGAGGAGACATGGAGGATGAGGAAGGGGAGAAGGAGCAAGGTAAGGCAGTACACCTATAATTTTTTTTTCCATCTCACTTATAATTTTGGCGGCGGGCCTCAAACGCACCGTTTCGACCCCGACCTTTTTTTTTTCCTGAGGGGGGTGTTCAGTCGTTCTCCACACACTCGTGCGCCGCACGGGAACGGTTGGGCACGTGCGCCGCACGTAGGGAACCGCACGCACGACGTGCGCTTGCATGTATGCTTTCAATAACCTATTGGCTAATGCTTTAGCAACCAATTTGTAGACAACAGCGAGAAAGGTGATTGGTCTTTAATTTCGAATATTCATTTTTTCTCCTTTTTTATACAATAAGGTTAGAATCCCCTGGCTCACTATTTCCCCCATGTTCCCTGAATCCCAAACAACTTTGTAAAATTTCATAAGACCTTGAGAAATGTGCGTCCGCATTACTTCCCAAATTTTTTTGGGAAGACCATCAATGCCCGGTGTTTTTTCTTCTTCCATCATCATGAGAGTAGTCCACATCTCTTCTTTCATGCGTGGTTTCTCTAGCTCACTACTTTGTAGATCCGATAGGGATTTGGTTAAGGGCAGGAAAAATTCATCTATTTCTTTCATCTTTTGTGCTTTTGGAAGGCTTTTACATTCAGAAGTGAAGAGATTTTATAATACTCCCTTGCTATATGGGTGCATGCAGCCGTTGAGGATACTAAGGAGTGATGTTCATCGTATGGATCTGTAAGTGCTTCAATGATTGTTCTACCAGATCTTACTTCAGCTTTGGCGAAGAATCTTGCATCCATTGCTTCTTCCGTGTTGTATTTAGATAACTTCCCTCTTATGCGAATTCCTTGCCATCTTTGTTCCATATAAGTTAGTAACTTAGCTTTTAGATTGTTGATTTCTTCGGTAATGGTTGTTGCTTGGGAGTCGTCCGTTTATTCCTCCTCTTGTTTTTGAAGTTGTAAAAGTTGATTCTGTAAATTTGTCATTTTGTAAAGTTGCCTCCTCCATATGACGCTGTGTAGCCAGCACTTCAGAATATTCATTGCATTTACGGCCTAAGAATAGTAGACCATTGTTGAACCAGCGTATATCATCATTGATGCTGTTTTTTTGTTCTCTCCAGAACGACCAGACATCCCTCAGATATACCTTGAAACGCTCTATGCTTAATAATGATGTATTCAACTTATAAAATCAGTTGCCCTGGTCTGTTTTTTTCCTGAAGGACAGAATCGCAGCACACATTGCATGATCCAGACCTGAGAGAACACTACGCAGGAAGATCTCTGCTACTTGCAGTGCTCCTTGTAATTCTTCTGACAACAATATGAGATCAATTCTCGATTTTGAGGCCTTCATTGTTTGACTTTTTTTGAAGCACGTGTAGGTGCGTTTGACTGGGTGGAAGCATCTATATGTATCAAATAGATTGAGGGATTGATATAATTCATCAATTATACATTCATCAGTCTCTATGTATGATGGGCATGGGGAGGGGATGTGCCAGCGATCAAGATGGCGATTCGGGGCTGCATTGAAGTCCCCTACAATGATGATTGGAATCCCGACGAGGAGGCGTGCTTTCAATCCTGTAAAAAACTCTGAGACTCTCCTCTCCCCCACGTCGTTGGGTGCATATACACACATAATGATTACTACCTCTATCTCTAGCATGGCTAAGATATAGACCCACCTGCCCCCTTCTTTATCCATTTCCCAGTATAGAGGGTCAATCCTCGAATCAGGCGGGAGCCAAATAGCTACCTCTGCACTCCCTGGTCTGGGGGCATGTGCCCGAAAGGCTCGATGGGGCCATATTTGCTTATGAACATGATTGTGATCTGCGTTATCTAAAAGGTGAGTTTCCTGTATACAGATAGCATCTGGCCAGTCCTTGCCCTCTATCTCTTTCAGCTGGTCATAGATCGTTTGACGTTTGGGTCCTTTAACCGTTGCTAAACCATTTAAATCAAGTGAACGAAGGTCTAAGTCTGTTGTTCTTTTCTGTAGCTCCCATTCCTTATCTTTGTTACACAGCGAATTCAGTACATCAATCCCCATCTTCACTTAATTTTTCCTTATCTAACGACACTCACCTGTTAACGCTTTTATAAGTTCATCCATAGTGCTCCATCTAGAGCACCACCTTGCTCTAGCAACCCATTGATTATTAGTCTGGAGAGCGATACTGCAACATCAACTTCAGTCCAGAACTCACTGGCTTTGACCTTCATTTGTTGCAGTTCCCCTAGCATGTGTTTGTTGAACCATCGCAGATTGATCACTCGAGATTGATCATGTCATGTATTGTATTATCCTAGATTACCAAAGTTTGGTTTAAATTTGAGCTCCACTTGCCTTTTTTTTTTTTTTTTTTTTTTTTTTTTTTAACCACTAGTGTCTGAAAAAGTGGACGTTTTCCCAAATTCCTAAAGTTTCGGAGGCCGGCCCCGACGACGGCTGCCATTGATAAATCTGATTGGCGGCCGTAGTTTCTTTTCGGTCTTCGAAAAGGTCGGAGGCCCACCGGAGGCCCGCTATTTTCCCACGCGCCAAAGGTACTAGTGGTTAAGGCTCTGCAGGTTCTAATAGGGAGGTGGATAGGAGCAATCCCCCCTTTCAGTCCTATCTGGTCACTCCAGCTATTGGTGGTTAGGAGTTGCACCTGCTGGAATGGAAAACTTGTCCAGCGTCCCACATGGGAATCAGAATACAGCGCAAACCACCACTCATGCTTTTCTTTTTCTCACGTTCTGCTAAAAAAAAAAAAAATATTCATTCATCCACTGATCTGCATGAACCTGGCCCAATTTTTTTTAATTTTTTTTTTTTTGGGGGAAGAATTGTGTCCTTGTTTTACAAATGGAGGGAGACGCTGGGAATCCTCAACGAACAGCCCAGAAAATATCTGGGGCCACCATCCATTACCTAGCTTAGACTTGTGCTGGAAACCGGGTCCAGCGCCCCGTACCATCCTTAGGGGCAAATCCCACTTCTTATAAGCAGGGCACTTTTAGGCAAAATTTGGGATCCCATTTCTTTCCACGAGACTCGGATCCCGTCCTGGAACGTCGGGGAAGTGGAAACGTTTGCGTACGTGGAGGCGCGAGCGTGATTGCAGGGGCGGTAGTTCATCCGATTTTCGGAAGAGGCCACGGTGACCCCTACCTTGCACCGTGAAAAAGGGAGCCCTTGTTTTTTTCGTCCTTTTTTTCTCCCCTGATGTGCAGGCCATTGGATCCTCGAGGCGCCACAAGAGAGTGCCGCTCCGTCAGGAAAAGTCCCGCAGAAGTAGGGCATGTGCGATCACATTTTTCTTTCACGTTCCGTTCACTGCACCTCCACCTTTAGCGACACTTTTACGTTCTTATGAACACGGGAGGAAGTGGGATCGCCCCCTTAAAAAACTGACAATGCTTCCGAAGTAAACTTGAAGCCAAGAAATTCAATCTACCAAATTGATCCTTGTCTAACAGTGGTGGCCTCCAACCAGAAACCCCAGACTCCCAATTCCAACTCAAATTTTAACCAACCTAGATAAAGACCAGCCTAAAACTATCTTGCCCACCTAGTCACCTGAAGCGGAACCTAGCTGAAGAATTACAGAAAAGCAACTTCTGAAGAGTAGCGTGTCTGGCGCTCCTAGTCATGGAGTGACTTGCCCTCTAGAGTGACGGTCCGGAGTAGCCAAGGACAAATCGTCAATTTCCCATCCTGTGAGAGATAGTTGCCAATGGGCCGTCTGCGGCCCATTAACGTAAAAAACATAATGCGCCTTTCCTCTCCCAGTCCGCCAGCCTGAGGATCGTCAGCCGGATCTGCGTTCGGATTGCCCACTTTTGTTCCTCTGAATGTGAAGACTAGACTTGAAAAAGCTTGTGATTTCGCGAGTGTGATGACTTTTTCCTTTTGCACCCCTCCCTTCCTCCTGACCCCATTTCCTCCCTAGAACACACCACCTGAGCATCGCTCAAAAAAAAAAAAAAACCAAGAAAGTGCTCGTACTTTCTGTCAAAAGATGTAATATATTGGAGGCAAGGACAGAGGCAGGCAGCATGAGTGAACACTATCTTCTTCACCCAAATTGAGTGAAGGCTACCTTCTTCACCCGAATACAACGTACGATCATTATGGCTGTATTTGGGGTATCTCTTAGTCTAAGTACAACTATAATTATGGACATTGTATTCGGCTGAAGAGGAGATCATGAAACACCACATGTGATTCCAAAAGTGGCTTGGACAACATTAATTCAACCAAAAAATAAAGGAGGATTGGGTATTATCGACCCTAAAATCCAAGTTGAAGCATTGTCCCTTCAGGTAATGAAAAGGTTAATTTTGACTGTGGATATTTCATGGAGGGACCTGGCTTTAGAACAAATACGTAGATTGACACCTAGAACAATCAAGGAAGTACACCCACTGGTATGGGTTGAAGATAGATTTTGGACTATTCCTCGACCCCATTTAAACCACAAAGGAGATGGAGCAAGAGGAGCGGTCAGAAAAGATTTAGTATTGGACAGCTTTTGGGCAAGCTTATTGAAAACTTGGCGGGAACTACCATTGCCAAATAAAACTTCTCCATCAAGATATGAGGAAGTATTGAGGCAACCACTGTTTGAAAATAGATGGCTCACTGATCAACAGGGTAGTCTTTATCAGTTCAGAATCTCCATGGGCTACGTGGGTAAAACATGGTATTTTAAGAATCAAAGATTTACGGGACCAGGAGACCCGAAACTGGAAGACAGTGGATAAACTCAGAAATGAGATTAAATATGCACACAAATTATAGGAAAATCTGGAGAATTTAGTATCTGTTGTTCCTCTGGTATGGAGAATGGCATTAAAAAAAGGACCGGTTTTTAGGACGGCAGATTGGGTGTGTATGAATATGCAGGATGGGATCAAGACAGTGGGTCAAATCTTGGAGGTTCACAAAGAGGGAGCATTGGTGAATGTAWTTAAGATCCRCAAGGATAATACGATCCCGAATAAGGATCAGGATAAAGTATCATTTTTCCCKTTTCATGAAATRTACAGAATAAGAGCCTTRTACTGTACCTCAACGAAAGAATGRACAATGTTTYTCCCACATATTCCTATTCYGRATCTACCACTAGATCCGGACGAATGGGTCTGGCGGATGAACAAGAGGAGTAAACCCCTAAGATTACAGTCCTTGTCAGTTAAAGCATCTTATCGATTACTGCATCCTAAAATAGAAGTGCCTGATATTATAAGAGAACGGTGGTGCAGGCATTTTAACATAGATGCGGAGTTGATTAAGCAAATAAGATGGTTTCAAAATTTACAGGAAAGGCCTGCCAAGTTTGCATCCTTACAATGGCAGATAATACATAGGTGTTTACCAACAAATGATTGGTTAATAGATGATTCTTCACTGGAACAAAAAGGTGTAGCATTACCTTGGTGTATCTCCTGTGTCCAGGTTTTTCCTAGTAGAAAATTAAGAGAAACAATAGAACATATCTTATTGCAATGTCCGAGCTCTGTTCTGACATGGCGACGGTGGGACTATGTGTGGAATAGGATTACGGGTCTAGAATGACCATGGGATTGGAGAACAATTTTGTTGGGATACTAGAATCCGATATTAACTGAATTATCACTATTTCAGCAAAATTTATTTCAATTAGGCAGAAAAGCAGTTTTATGGGCTTTATGGCATAAAAGATGTGTATTAACAATTGAGAAAGTAAGGATGGAAGGAAAAGAAATGACAGAGGTAATCCAACAATTTATTCAGACAGAAATCAGAGATCAATGGGAAAGGTGGAAAAACAAACTTTTACAATTAAAACAAAAACAGGACATTAAGCGAAGTATTTTTGAATTTGGATTGGAATGGCTAGGGGATGCGTCAAGGGAGAAATTGGGAGAGGTAATTTGGCCAGGGGAGGATGAGGACCAGGTATTGTTCAAGAGGGACTATCGGATCAAATTTTTTAACTGGTTGGACATCCAACCGGGAGCTTCTTTGAGATCACCAGCTTATTTTCCAGACCCTTTTCCTCAGTCTGAGCTTGCTTTGGTAGATATGGACTGGTTTGGGTGAAGGGAAGAAGGCTAAGGAGAGAGAATAAATAGTGGAGATTTCAGTCAAAGGATGCTAGATAAATCACTTTTCTTTGGCGGTCAAAACTTTGACTGAAGAGGCATCCTTAGGTGGAAAAGTTGAGGAAGCAATATTGATTGGTCAATGACAGATGTAAGGGACGCTGGACCCGTTTTCCAGCAAGTGCAGCTCCCCACCAATAGAATGGAGCCCCCGGAAGGATAGATAGGAGGGTATGCTCTTACCATCCCCCCTATCTGTCATAAACGGGGTAAAAAAAAAAAAAAAAAAAAAAAAAAAAAAAAAAAAGGATGATTGGTATTTAGTTTCGACCCCAGCTTTTTCTTACAGATGGTTGTTCGGGGGTCTTAAGAATGCTTTTGGGCTCTCGGGATTCCTAGCAACTTTTCTTAGGTGGTTTTTGCTGCTGTTATACTTAGGGACCTGTGGCTGTTCGATGCCAGAACGACGCTGGCCGGAGCTGGGGTGTTGCCCTGTGACCTGTTGAGGCAGGAGCATGAGGCCTGGTAGAGAGATCTGGGGATGCTTTGGGGTGGGCATCCTACGGGACAGCTAAGGGTTGCTGCTGGGACGACGCTGGTCGGAGCTGGGGTGAGTTGTGTCGCCCTGTAACCTAGCAGGATGTGGGGTGTGAAACCTGGAAGAGCTCGGCAGGGAGTAGGACAGTGTTGGAATGCCTCGGAAGGGGTGTTAGGGATTTCAAAGGTTTTTGAGCATTTGTAGGGCCCGCCAGGTCTATTTCTATGTTTTCGATTACGGATTTTTACTTAGTCAAAGCCTGTTCTTAAAAAAAGGGGGTAGTCTGTTTTGTCTTTAAAATGTCTTCTGGATACTGGGGTTTCCTGACAATTTCTTCTAGGTGGTTTCGAGGCTGCAATACTCGGTGACCTAAGGCTGTTCGATGCCAGAACGACGCTGGCCGGTGCTGGGGTGTTGCCCTGTAACCTGCTGACGCAGGAGCATGAGGCCTGGTAGAGAGATCTGGGGGTGCTTTGGGGGAGCATTCCACGGGACAACCAAGGGTTGCTGCTGGGACGACGCTGGCCGGAGCCGGGGTGAGTTGTGTTGCCCTATAACCCAGCAGGATGGGGGGCGTGAGGCCTGGAAAGCTCGACAGGGCATAGGACAGTGTTAGAGATCCTTGGAAGGCTTTGTTAGGGATTTTGCGGGATTTGGGGCTTTTGTAGGACTTCTGCAGTCTATTCCCGTACTTTTTTCTGAGTAACGGGTAGGAAAGGGATTGAGGTGAGAGAGAGAAAGGTATCACGCGTCCTGCTAGTGAAGGGGCTAGCTGGTAGGACAGAAATAGGGCATAGCAGCAGTAGAGATGGTGGCTTTGCTGCAGTAAGTCTTGCTGGAGTGAGGCAAAGAGGACTGTTGGTGGATTCCCGAGTCTTTTTCCGGATTTTGTTTAACTCTGAAGTTCCTTACAAAAAGTTTTGAAGTAGCTCCAAATTTTTCGAGCCAAAGCCGGGTGATGGCCCCGGTACCTCAGTTTCCAAATTCCATCCTTAGGTCAATTGGACTTTCTCAGTAGGTTCCTAGTCTCATTGTCATGAAATTCTCTGATGATTTTCCTGAACATACTTGTCATGGGACGCTGGGCCCGGTTCCCAGCTCGTGCCAATTTGTGAGGATATGGTTGTATCTATGGGACGCTGGACCCGGTTTCCAGCAGGTGCTGCTCCCCACCAATAGATGGAGCACG